AATAAGAGTCCCAGAGCATCATCACAAGGCACAGCGAAGTCCACAATCTCCCCCCCCCCACCACCACCATAATCATCGGGGAGTTGCATCACTGTAGGTTTCCAGAAACAATTCAACACAACCACGCTACGCGGACTGCGTCAAATAAATAACCACGACAATTTAAAATGTTAATTAACCATAAATGTTGATGGGGGAAAAAACTCACAACCAACACCGTGACTTGGGTCAATAATAAGAGAGCAATTTTTTTTTACTTTAAACATTTTGCGTTTTGAAATCTTAAATCTTGAACTCAATTTAGTATCTACATCTCTGAAGTTTACTGTTCACGGCCTGCTGAGCACAGACTCACAGCAGCCTCGCCACTTTCAGACTAAACTAAAAAAAAATCACAAGTTCTCAATGTTTTAACATTCTCAAACAAACAACCTGGATGTTAATGAATTAGACTTTTGAATGTTTTTAGAGTTATTCTTGGCGCGCACGCTGCTCTAAAATTGCCTTTGAAAAAAAAAGTGATCCACAAGGCGCCATAATCAACAGCGCAGAAACATGTGTTGGTGATTTTAGCTTGCGCCTTTCGGCGAATATCCCACCGAGCTCACGAGCCACATGTCCTGAGCAGCACAGCCACAGCACAGCGGACTGTTCTGACGTTAAGTACACAACATGACAGCTCATTGTCGGGTTTTTTTTTTATCCATAACATCCTACCGACGAAGTGTGGCTTAATAAGAAGCAGCAATTGTGCACTCGGCTTGCTCGCTACATATCCCATAGTCTGCTAGTTTATTTGTGTTCTGTTTTCCCATATTACAAAATGTTCATTTTACAGCATAGAAAAATCGGTTGCACGTGCAAAAAAAAGTTATATTTCGTAAATATATTTGTGCCTGTCCTGTTATTGCCTGGCCTATGACTACTTGACTATAAACCTCACTCAAAACCAAACTGAGGCTGCGTGCAATATGAGATAAATTGCTGCTAGCAATCTTGCTGCTGCCCCGTGTTTGTATGAACTTCATTAAAACGCGGCGCTCATTCTTCTCAGCATGTCCGGTCATTAAATACTGTACTAAAGAGATTTCTAAAAATGCCTCTTGAATATAATCTAGGCAACGGTGCTCTCCCTCGCCCACTGCGCTGCCCAAGATTGACTTAAAATCTAATTTTTTCAACAACAACTTTTACAGAAAGAAATAAAAGTCAAAGTGTGGTTTCCTGCCCAATTGCGCGTCGAGGCGGTGTTCTTCTCCTGTTTACAGGCCCGAGTCAGTGGTGGAAATGCCACGTTCCTAAAGCTGGGGCGAGTCCACCCATAGAATAACCACTCTTCGACTTTCCCACAGGGTGGCATTCATAAACTAAGGCCACGACAAAACATGCATAACAATTACTCAAAGTTACTATGAATGTTTTTTTTAAAGTAATGTGTCTTTGCCAACGGTTTTTAAAAAATATATCATCATTTCGATTTAAAGCTTTCGTGACTGCAGGGATTCATCTTCTGGGTTCTTTCGGTAAAGTCACGTAGAATGGAGATAAAATAATAAAAAGAATAATAACGGAATAAAATTCTCACGACGTTTCGGGCACAACACAAGTAGCCTTCCTCACCTGAGTAGCCTCACCTGAGGAAGGCTACTTGGAACTACTTGTAGCATTCCTCACCTGAGGAAGGCTACTTGTGTTGTGGCCGAAACGTCGTGAGAATTTTATTGTTATTATTTTTATTATTGTATCTCCATTCTACGTGACTTTACCGAAAGAACCCAGAAGAATATATTATCAATTGATGTTTGTGCACTCTTTTCCATTTCTTCTGTAATGTGGTTGCTTTTTCTATCTTCTACATTGGTTGTTTCTATTTGGTTGATTTTGCTCAGATTCTTTACTATGCACGATATAAATGGACCTTCCTACATCACCAAAACAAAAGCCCAAAGTATAAATATTCTGCTATAAAATTATCCAGTTTGTAATTTCTAACTTTTGAAGGGATATGTCATCGTCCACCTTGTATGGTAACCAGCCTACAGCTGGTATCCTGCCCCAGACAAAATGTGAATGTGTATTCTATTTTAAATATTTTAAGATAGTTTATTTGCATAACCTGCGATTAATATACGTTTCTGAAAAGCGCATAGGCCTACGGAATAAAATGTGTTTTATTTAAACGTGTGGAGTTCCGCTTACACGTCTATTTTGTATCGTCCTTCAGGCTTCTGCTTGGAATGTCCAGCCATTCCCTTTGCTTGTCAACGGAAACTGGAGTAAAATTGGAGTCCGTGAAGAAAACGAACGCAACAAGAGGGGATAACTCTAAAATAATAAGCTTGTTTGATAAGTCTTGCAGGTATTTGTACAGACCTCTTGAGCTCCATTGTCTTCAGGGACATATAAGTACCATATATTAGGATCGAAAACTCTATAGAAATGTTCTTTCATGCAGACCAGGCAGCCAAACCAAATCAGGAGTGCTTTATCAGTCTAACATTATTATTTTTTTTAAACCAAAGTTGTACCCCATCTGATTCTCAAAGGTCCTTGTTCAGGCTCCTCATCAGCCATTGTAGCTCCATCGGACTCGAGCGGAGCGTCTTTGCTCCATTTCGCTGATGGTGCAGGAATTCGAGGTGAAAAGCACACTGCTGCCTCCACTTCCTGCCAGCGCCATGAAATTCCAGATGCCATCGCATTAAGTATTACCACATGCTACAACCTATTTGGAGGACAGCATAAGTTTTATTTTTATTCGTCAGTATCACTTATGACAACTTTTAAAGAAAACATGCCATTCTTTTGAAATGCAGGGTATAATTACGAACCACAGCGAGTTCCGCTGAAAACACTGCCATTCAACCACATTGTTTTTTTAATATATATATTTATAAAAGTGTTTTATACTATTCAGAGGCGTACGTGAAAATATCAAAGCCATTGCCATGTGAATGTTATGCTAAATACGGCACAGACAAAATGTAAGGGGAGAAATAGTTGCTGCTCGGCGGTGGTGAATCATTTATAAAACTGTGCAGTATGAAAAATCAGGAAAGGCAAATGTCATCGATACGATGCTTTGTAAACTGACCGTGAGTATGTTTGGCAAATGCCCCGTTTTAAATAGTCACCGAGCACTCCTTTAAAGTGTCAGTGGGTAAAACCTTAATCTACCAAAACCTTCTCATTGTCTGATACAGCTTACATTTCCACAAAGTGTATCAGAATCGTTTCCTTTCAACTCTGTTTTTACAAAGCCTTAACGGTCCACCAAACCTCCATGAGGACTCAAGCTGAGGGATCTTCACAGCACATTGGCACTTTTAAATGAGAGTAACAAGACCAACACTGAAATCGTCCATAATCCAGCTTAGCGAGCCATTAGTTTTCTTTAACTGTGTCCCATTGTCGTGGGCTTTGCTTTTACTCCTCTTTAACAACCACATTTAAATAGGGATGCCCACAGTTCTGACCTCCCGGCCTCTGGGTTTCTGTGCGCTTAAGAAGCAAAGAAGCAAGTGAACCAGGTTGACTTTGACTGCAGAGTGCTTTGTCCCGACACGGCCTGTCCTGAACTTTCGCCATGGTGCTCCACAGCCCCGTATCTTGAGAGGGCCCTCACACGAATGAGCTCTGGCAGGACAGCTTAATGTTACCGTCCGTTAGTGCGGCGTCGTGGTTTTTTATGAATGGAAGTGACAAAACGACGCGAAGTGCTCCCCACATTACGCCAGCGTATCAACAATTACCGTTCCTTTTTTGCGACAAAACATTTTCGCACGCGCAGAGAAAACAAGAGCGCGCAGCACAAAGCGTCGCTTCCGCGCAGCGGGAACAAAAGGCGCATACGTATTCATCGCTTTGCTCACCGACGTGACGATAAATACTCCAGTCGCAAAACGAAGAAACAAAAACGGTATCGCGGCAAATAATGAAGGAAAAAAAATCGCACTCAAATGTTATTGAGCGAGCAAATGCAACCTAGAGAGGAAAACGGAATACGCCATTCCGTGTGCTCTCCGCTGTGCAGGTGTCGTGAGCGCGCGACCGCCACACAACGCGCCAATTATGCCGGCGGCCGCTTCTCAAACCGTTTTAACTTCAGCACTGTGATGTGATGTCCCTTGTTTGTGTATGTATTTTGAACTTCGTTCGCACCATACATAGTCAACCGTGCTAAATAGGTGCTGGGGAACAACAGCGAACTAAACAACAAAAATTCAGTTCTAAAAAAATGAGGTTTTAATCTCGATTATGTAAAAGTGCATTGTCCAGTGGCTTCCTAATATCGGAATGGAAGAGCGTTCTAGACGGCCGCAGAAGCACATCTAAAAATGCATGATGCGGTGACCATCTTTGTTCCAAAAGCCGCTGCGAAGATGACCAGAGTTGGCATAATGGTGGTTTACGCTCCTTGACGAGATCAGCGAGGTATTGTGTGGTTCATTTGTGGCAAGCACTTTGTGTGTAATGAGTTCGACCTTACAATAACCTTAAACCATGCTTGTTCGCATTGCAGGACAGCGTCGCATATCTGACTTGCTGAGTACTAAAGTACATGGACGCATGAGTGAACAAGTCAGATATGTGAGCAAATGACGGCAACACCGTGCACAAATACGTCGGTGAATGTGAGCGGTTCATTGGTCAGGGTGGACATGTGACAGTCGAATATGTAACATTGTACCGTATAACTTGTATGTACATAGCAGCCCTCCTCGTTGCTAACACGATAAGTAACTTGGCACACACGATGAATTACGCTCCCCAACTGAAGCAGCTGTGACCAATGATGGAAAACACAATTACACAGCTGACTCTTTGAATTAACCATTTGCTATATTTTTCCAGCGGCTCGATGGTAAAAAAAAAGTATTCAATAAGGAAGCATTTCCTCAGTGGACAGAATTGAAAATGTCCTACTGCAGTGATGATACCAACAAAGATATACGTTATGACGTGTACAGAATCAATCATAGGATTTGTTTTAATCTCACCTTTGATTCGCATTTTTTGTGGCAGATATACTTGCAAACTGCAACAGAAGAAAACAGGGGAGAAACATCAAAAACAATAAAGCTTGCAACATCTCCGATCGTTCATCACAGTTTCAAGAAAGAGAACGAGTCGGGCGAAGGAACTTATTCCGCAGTCGGGCGGTTCGAGTGAAATCCCATTCAGGGGTTGCCTTCACCCTTCATCAACTCAAGAGGTTCTTAAAATAAGGACCACTTCATGAAAATTCACACGTTGTCAACCTCTGGTTGGAATGGTCCCCACCATATGAATGTGGAATTTCCACCACTGGCTCATGGCCACCAATAAAGAGGAGTGCCACCTCCATTGCGCATTAGAACAGAGAGGCACTTTGCCCGAATTAGACCATAAGAGAGTCAACAATGCAATGGTCCTAACTGCCAATACATTCATTAGGGGACAGAAAGGTCATGAGGATTATGTACCAAGTTGCAGATTAAATGTCCTCCGAGAGGTTACCGTGCTTCCCTGGAGACTTTGTGAGCACCAACATTGCAACGTAAGAGCACCGATGGCTCAGAAATGAGGTTTCCAATTTCCAAGCCCAATATTGATTAGATTCAGCCTAAATAATCGATGTGAAACGATGAAGCATATTTTGCACACCAACACCATTCTAATATTGTTGCAAGGCATTACAGATATATTTTAAAAATAGAAATATAACAATTAGAACTCCAGTATAATTAAGATTTGTTGACATGTTATTAAAAATGAAACAAAATAAAAGAGGATTTTTCATTGTTACGATGTTTTTAACGAGACGTATCCATGTAAAATTGGCTCAACTGGGCCCAAACAAAGCAAAGTATATTTAACAAGCTTGCAATAAAAACATAATCCAGTCATAGCTGATGTTAAGTAAATGGTAACATCTTCAAAAAATATTTCAAACAATTGCAATCAGTTCTCATTAAATTAGTTTGCAAATTTGCTTCAAATTTGCTTCAAATTTGCAAACACGGGAGGCTTATTTGTAAAAAAAGAATATTTTTCAACCACTGCCAAGACCCAGCAGGGATCTTGGACAATACCATCTATTGTACCTTACAGTCCATATACAGCCACACAACAGAACTCCTCATTAACAAATGCAGTGAGCAGCAATTAATTCAGCCCCTCCCAGCAGCCAGTGGGTGATCAAATTCAGCGGTAAACATTAACTCATAACACGTTGCACCTTAATAATTGTTCTTTTTTTTATTTGGAATTGGTATAAACATATATGCGACGGTGGCGACAGACAAGGCCAGGAGGGAATGGCCGCTAAAAGGAGTGTGCATGCCCGAAAACGCGACCGCCGGGGAGATGGAGCTGTGAAATCTGCTCACACGCAGGAGTGAGATGGATTGTGTGGCATCGCAGGGCCACGAGGGATGGTGACGGTGTGGGGAAGCCTCTTCCAGCAGCGGATTAACAATGGCTGACGAGCAATATATAAAACACACTGGCTTTGACACGCGTCTCCAAAGATTAGACAAATTCCCGTGCCACATTCAGAAATGATACAGATTACCATAACATTTGAAAACTCCGTTCATGGAACGTAACTTGTTCCACGAGTCTTGTAATTCATTAAAGGTTAGTCATGCGGTTTATTAAAATAAAATAAACGCATGCGTACATTTCCACTGCAAAGTTCTGTGTATTTTCCTTGGTCCAAACGACTGAATGTCGATGCTATTCTCGTTTCTTTTGAGTCACCCGCTGCGGAAGGGTGGAGCTGCAGTGGAGGTCGCGGTTGGGCAGCTGAGCTCATGGCAAAGCGTGCACTCCGGCACAGCCCCTCGTCGTTTCACAGCCGCACAATTCTCAGCAACTGCGCGTGCACCGCTCTAAAAATAATAATCATCGGGCAAAGAACGGGTCCGACGCCAGTATAGGTTTACATATTAAGTGTAGATTAATAGGCTAACGTGACTACGTGCGTCGTGATTATAACTGCTAAATGGAGCAATTGACCAGGCAGAACAAAGACTTAGTGAAGATTCTTAGTGCATCAGCTCGACTTAAGCTGGGTAGGGTAACTGCCAGCAATGCCCTGCTGCTAATCTGCTTAAACGTCCCCAAGATTTGGCCTACTGCCTTTAAAAAAAATAAGCACGTGACCTCCCACGTGCGATATTCCCAAGTGTCACCAGCCTGTTTCTGTGCTCGGTTTGGGCAATAATACTGAAACGTGGCATTGAGCTGCAATTTACAAGGAGGGAGTTTTGCATTCCGCTTCATTGACAGCCGTTTTAATAGCGGTCATTATCCGTTCCTTCGAATGACACCCAATATGCGAATGTGGAAATAGACGTTACCAGTCGCAGTACGAGCGATATTTTTGGTTAAAAAAATTGGTATAAGGCGGCCTTTGAAGGAATTTTTTGCAGAAAGCAGTCAGTAAAGTGGAATAAATAAGCATGAGCTTTCAAAAATGGAAATGGATATGGGTGGATCAAAATACATGCAAATTACATATTTATTTGAATTTCAGAACTGTTTCGCAAATACATTTCAACGTACACAGTTCACAGTACTCTCCATTGTAGCTGCGAGTTACGGTCTCGGTCCCTCTAGTGGCTGAAAGTATAATGCACTCCATAGAGCTCTATCCATTGCGTTTTAAGTGAGTGCCACGTGTTGCTTGGCACGATGTCCGACGTTCCGTTCTATGCACCGGGGAGCTTCTGCATGGAACTATTCACGATGTATACAGTTCTCGTCTTCAGAAACTTTTCGGTTCCTGAAAATAAGCTCCCAGCACTTGGGCCGAAATCAGACTCAGAATCTTTATTTATCCTGGAGAAATCCGATGAGCTATAAAGCTTTCTTTCACGGATGTCCAGTCGGGGTGGATCCGAAAGTTACAGCGAACAATACAAACAAAATGATTGGAGTGCAAAGTATTGGAAAGGTAATCAAATCAATGAAAATAAGTACGTAAAATATATGAAGTGCAGAAAGTACAATTTGCAAAAGTATATCAATTCCTGCCGATGTTCAACAATACTGTGCATGGACGCTTGGGCAAAGCAGCAAAACAACAACAGTCCCAGACCACAGCAAGTAAACACATAGAAGTCTCTCAAATACATTGCACTATCAAATTGAACAATCGATACACGGGTATTGATCAAAGTTACAAATCACATTGGCAAATGTGGTTGTATCTGGCACCACGCGGCATAACACACCTCCAATAAGCATGATTGGCTATGTACGTTGCGAAAGAGATTCAACATACGCACATACTACGGCAAGTCGAATGTGCTTGTTCTTTCATAGATTTCAGCTAAATGGACCACACGCTTGAGTCTACTTCTGGAGGTTTATAATGTGACCAGTTCACTATCGTCATAACTAGTGACCGAGTAAGATGATTCGCTTAACAGAAGTGTCCAACAAAGCTCACTGACCGTAGCCAAAAACATGAGATTTCATCTCTGTATTATTTGAATTGAACAGAACAGACCGTCTCCAACAATGACCGATGGACAACGCATTTAGCGCTCAGGAATGTAAGATCGTAACAAGGACATATCTCGTTGCTGTTTTGACGCATTACAAAAACAAAATCGTTCTGCGTCGGTCAAGATGCAAGAGATGACGACCCGGTGGTCGAGACGAATGACGGAGTAGCAGCCAGAAGCGGAGACGCCCAGAGAGAGAGTTCCAAGCGCGGAGGAGATGGAGCTACGGAATCCGCTCGTGCGCAGGTGGCTGGAGCTGCTCGCTACGCCGCGAGACCATGAGAGATGCCAAGACGACCGCCAGTGGATATGATCATCAGAATCACAAACTTTATTTATCCTGGAGAAATCCGATGAGCTATGAAGCTCTTTTTCACACACCCCACCCCCCCTCCCCCCGTAGTTGCGGGTCAGCTACGAGCGGGATTCGTGATGATGATGACCACTTTAGCAAGAGACTCATCCATCCGCTCTACTTCACTGTAACCGTTCAGAGAAGATAAACATCGGCGAACGACATGAAACCCGCGCTTCCAGCCGCCGGCCCCTATATACAGCACACGCACGACCGTTGACTGAAGATGGAACAAAGAGCTCGCCACGACTGGGCCGAGGTGGCTCTATGGCCTCTTCTGAAACTTTACCACCACCACCACAGCGATGCTGGCTGCTCGACCGTCAACAGCGCGCTCCGACGAAGCCGCCGACAACTAATAATGCCACGCTCGATGAAAGCGTTACGACGATGCTTTCATTTGGACGCCCTTTCAGAGAGCCCTCCCTCTTCGACACCAGCAGATGCCAATCGCTTGCGATGCGGTTGCATTCATGCAAGCCGTCGGCAAGAGTGCTGCTGCGTGCGCTTCAGTGGAGCCGCAGGTTTCACAGCGAGCCAGCAGAGGGAGGCAGCACAGCTGCAGGACGACAGGAAGCCCCCAACAGCCCCACTCTTAATGTCACCTAAGGTACGGACGGCGAACTTCTTTCGCACCGTACGTAGCTAACCGTGCTAATCGGAGTGCGCGGGGGGGGGGGGGGGACAAACTAAACACAAAAACGCGGTTCTAAAGATGAGTTTTCAATGTAGATTTAAAAGTGCACAGCTCCGCTGGCTTGCTAATATCGGAAGGAAGAGCGTTCCAGACGGCCGCATCAGGTATAACGATGGGGTGTTCAGATGCTCCCAATTTCCTGCCCAGCAGAAAACAACAACTCATACGGATGGACTTTAAGGATAGCGCCCAAAGAAGCATGGAGAGATGCACACATGGAATTGCCGAACTAGAAAGAAGACCACGTGGATAAGAGAACTTACACAGGTCAATAACATCATCCAAACCATGAATACAAGTCAGGGGGCTTGGGCAGGACCCGTCATACCTAATAGGGTTCATGGACGGTGGTCAATAATAGTAACGGAGTGGCAGCCAAGAAATGGAACGCGTTCAAAATTCATCCACGATAGAGATGGAGCGATGAAATCTGTTCATGTGCAGGTGCTCCGTAGTCATGGAATGAAGATAGATATCGGAGGAAACACACACACACTCATCATCATAATCAGCCATGACCTATCAACTGCTGGATGAAATCCTACCCAAGCTCTCCAATGGGCTTTCAATGCAACAATCCATCTAGCTCCTGCACACGCACCGATGTCAATGTTCTATCCCTATGGTGGGCACCTCTTGAGCATGCTCCTCTCCTCTAGCTGTAACTCCACCGCTAGTCTCGACCACTGGTCGTTATCCATTCTAGAGAAATGTCCTTCCCAAGCTCACTCCCTTTTCAGCTGGATCTGTCCGGGTCAGCGACACAGAAAATATTTTCGCACTTGGCACACCACATCCAGTATACCTCCGGTAATGGCGGTGGCTACGAGTCATGTGCCTAGTCCAAATCCAGAAATTATTCACTGCTATGCTCAATTACTACGGTATATAAACTACAGTCGTTGTAATGCACAATGAATATGACTGCGCACGTGCCATTGAAAAACACACGCGTCACATTTACATTTCCGTGTTTATTTTGACACAAGACTCCCAAGTATCGTGTTAAAGCCATTCAACCACCCCGAAACATTTTTTATCCAAATCAAATATTTATTCTCTTTTTCACAGATGCATACGATGATGGAAAGGAACCAATAAACTCTGCAGTGACTGAAGCGTTTTTTTGGTGTGTGCACATGCGCACACACACACACGCACACAAACACGCACACGCGCACGCGCACACACACACGCGCACACACACACGCGCACACGCACACACACACGCGCACACACACGCACACGCGCACACGCACACACACACGCGCACACACACACACACGCACACACACACACACGCACACACGCGCACACACACGCACGCACACACGCACGCGCACACACGCGCGCACACACGAGCGCACACACGCGCACACACGCGCGCCACGCGCACGCGGGCACGTGCCTAAGGCACGACCGCAAACCACGCCGCTGCTCGTTTGTTGCTGGCCACGGCCACGCGTCGTGGGATACACCGCGAGCCGCAGCAGCAACAACGCGCCGGGCGGCAACCGGCTTTACATTCCGACAAAACCGACAAATCCCTAGAACAAACCGATTCATCCCGCTGTATGTTTTTTTTATCTGCACCGCAACAACAACTTTTGCTTTTTACGATTTTGTAGAAGCACCTGAAATGGGAGCAATCCTGCAATTATCCTGAAGTGTAGAACTGTCACTGGAATACATTGTAAGGTCGCACTCACTACACACAAAGTGCTTGCCGCGAATGAACCACAATACCTTGCTGACCTCGTCAAGGAGCACAAACCACCATCGCACAAACTCCCAGTCATCCTCACAGTGGCTTTTGGCTCACCATCGACAAAGACGGTCACCGCATTGTGCGGCGCTTTCAGATGCGCTTCTGCGGCCGTCTGGAACGCTCTTCCTTCCGATATTAGGAAGCCACTGGAGCTATGCACTTTAAAATCGTCTAGATTGACAAACTAATTTCATTTGAATTGCTTTTTGTGCTTAATTTGTTGTCCTTTCCCCCGCACCTACGATTAGCACAGTTGACTACGTACGGTGCGAAAGAAGTTCAACATACGTATGTCATGAATACAGAAGAGTAGCATATGCTATACATGGGGGAGCATCAATGCAACGAATAGTGCACTTCGCCCTGCACCTAGTAGCCTCAGTTGGATTCCTGGTCTGCTTTAACATCATTGGCGAGTGATATCTGAACCGATACTGGGAACCTCTTTTACCACGCCGCACTGCCCAGTGTGGTGAAGTGTAGTCAAACAATCCTCGCGACCGACACGGCACGGGGAGGCCTTCATGCAGCCTAGATTGTCAATTGGCTGTGCATTATTATTATTATTTGCTGTTGCGTAACACGCTGGCTATTTTGTACATTTTTAGCAGTCATTAGCTGAGTTTATCTCACTGATTAGCCCCAATTATTATGTTTTGTTGCGTATGGCAACACGGTTCACGAACTAAATGCCAACGTTCAGGTCTGCTAGCCACGAGGGGGCTTCAGGAGAGAGTTCTTGTAATTTTTGCTATCCCTCTGTTGAAGGACCTCAGGCTGCAGCGGTTTACTATGTGGTCCATAGTTTGGGTTGCATGGTCAAATAAGCCCCATGACATCTAAACATATCCACTTCTATCTTGACTTAAAGCTTTCGTGACTGCAGGATATTATATTCTTTGGCTCTTTCGGTAAAGCCACGTAGACAGAAAAAAAACCCTAAAAATATCGACGTTTCGATCGCAACACAAGTGGTCGTCTTCAGGAAAATATCCACTTCTCCCAAGAAACCACAAAACAGGCTTCACACAAAGAGAGCAGTCATTAACGGGAGTGACCCTCGCCTTTTTTATTTTAAATATTGTTCCGCTTAACTTAACAGCGCAGCATGTGTTATGTACTCTATATATTTATACAAAGGGTACTCGAAGGGATTTGAGAATAAAACGCTATAATAACTACAGTGCCAACATAATAAATATATATTTCAAACGTTTGTTAATTCAATGCTGGACGAAGGCCTCTCCTCGCTGTTTCAGTTATATGAGCTGTTTGCCGAGACTTCTGCACACACTGGCCAACACAAGTTCAAAGATCACTCACCACTCATGTTAGCCATGGCCAGAAATCAAACTCAGGTCACCAGGATCATCGTGCAGTTCGCTAACCACCGCAGCACCGCTCACCAAATTATTAACAATCTTACAGCATCCTTGACCTCCATATTAAAACAAAAAAATAAACGTAGCAGACTAAATGCTTCTTTAGTAAGTTAAGACGAGCACATATTTAACAATCTTGTTTTTCAAAAAGTTCACATGCATATTGTATTGTATTTATATTTGGTATCGCAGGGGAAGGCCCAAATATACATGGCAAGAAACAAACGTACGGCCTGAAGGAGCTTCGAATCTGGACACCCCCTTTTTTGTTTGTGTTGAAGGATGATCGTTCTGTATCCTTCCCCGCCTGGAATGCGTGGTGGTCGGTTGTAACGCATCCTGAGCCGTGCATGACTCAGAGGATTAAAGGAGTCGCAGCAGGAAAGCCTACCTCTTCCCTTGACCCAGGGAGGCCCCCACCCCAGCAAAGCGGTCACCCATGCGTGCATCAGTGGCACGCGAAATTGGCAAACAGGAGTGAAATCACCGCGCTAAGCATCGGTTTTCAGCCTCCCCTCGGCCTGGGTAGGAAGTCAGGACGGGAGGTAGAGGTCGCGCTTCTTCCCCAAAAGCCGGGAAACGTTTTAAAACTGCAGGCAAAACCTGACAACCCGCCATTATCCAATTTCACATTGCTTAAGCAATGCGGTATTATATTACCGTCATAAACGTTTTTACTGCAAGTGTTTTATGCGCTTTATTTATGCCGCCTTTTCGAATTAAATAAGCACAGTCTTGGATTCAGCAAAAACTCTGGCACACAATCACACATACTTATAGGGTACAATGTCATGGGCTCAACAATGTTCACCTCTCAGCCAACTGAAAATGGGATTGATGGTGATTCCTCACGGACATTTACTGCTCTTCTCCATTGTGCCAGTGGCCACTGTGCCAGCTACGAACCCACCGTGCCTCCCAACCTTGCAGTACGACCTTGTTTAAAGGGGGGGGGGCATACGAACAGGGGTTATGGCACAACGCGCTCGATGTTGAAGAAACTTCAGAAACCCTGAACAGAGGGAGTAACAATGCGATCTGCATTTTGTGTATCGCGCGGTCTGCGCCTCCGGGCCTCGCTCCCCGTGTATGCGAGCAAAGGCTGCAATGTCCATCGCTTCATCGTTACGAATCTGAAACCATCAGTTTTTTTACTCGACTCCAAGAATTTAGAAGCGGGGCTGAGCCTTGAGCAGAGGGGGGCTCAGCCACCTCCACGGAGCCACCGAGCCAGCTGAACCACCAAAACGGTGCATAGAGTCCTTTAAAAATAGCAACATTCTTAAATTTGTACAGTTCCCCCACTGAAACACGGGGGGGGGGACATTTTGGTAAGATCACACTGCCACCGAGCGCGACTCTTGAGCGGCTCCCTCTGGCCCCAGGCTCTTACCGCGACAGCAGAGGCCCTGCTGGCCCAGAGGCTGCCTGCACGCGCCGCACACCCGGGGCCGCTTGAAGCTCTTAGCTTTGAAGGTGTGAGCGTTGGGGGCCTCCGCTTCTTCGGGCTGAAAAACACAACAAAAAGGAATGCAGCAAACGCGTCCCTTCAGTCGGTCGCATTCACCATCAGCATAACTGCAACTTACCCCCATTAACTTCCATCAGCTGCATCGTCATCATCATCATCATCGGGACATCATCACAATAATAATGATGATCATCACAATAATAATGATCATCATTATGATAAATATGATCATCATCATGATGATTATGATGATCATCATTATTATCATGATGATTATGATTATTATGATGATCATTATTATCACGATGATTATGATGATGCCCCGCACCTCTGATTAGCACGGTTGGCTACGTACGGTGCAAAAGAAGCTCAACATACATACATAGAACATCAATACAACATACATATACATGCATTATTCGGGTGACAAGTGACGCAGTGGCTACACTTGTGCCTCACAGCAAGACAGACCTGGGTTCCATTCCTGACCCATGCAGGTGCCTTCCTGTGTGGAGTTGATATGTTCTCCCCCTGTTCTGCATAGGTTTTCTCCAGGTTCTCTGGTTTTCTCCCAACGCTATAACAACCATTCCATGTAACCGGTATGCGGCCAAACATTCCAATGACTTAAAAAAATTACCCAATTGGGATTACGCAGCAACTTGCCCCCTAGTGTGGAAACTTGGCATAGACCTCTTGAAGAGTAAGTGCGACTTTACTGGTTAAACAAGTTTACTACTAATAATAAATGATAATATCGTTACACCTTCAATAGTGCTGTTTATTGCTGGCTGCTTGGAATGTTGATCCTTTGAGCCTCTATTCGGCAATCATGATCAAAAATATACAAAACGATAGCTAATGTATGGCATCTATTCAACAAATATAACTTAACAGACAACACCTGTGGTTAATATTGAAACTTTCCAAATGACTCGTGAACACAATGCAACACAGAGCCAGCACACTGCTTTAGAGCCCCTGTCCTTTTGGAATGAGCCACATCCTTTGACAAGCCACCCACTGACTCATCCTATAGAGAGACTGGCCACTGCCATGGGATTTTGAGCACGAATTAACGGCCACCAGAGGAGATAAACACCAACGCATGGCTAATTTATATTGACAGACACATGACTTTGCTTTGACTGAGCCACTGGACAAGTGACAATACCGCACCTCCGATTAGTACGGTTGGCAACGTACGTTTGGAAATAAGTTCAACATACATACGATACTGGGGTTTACCATGTAGAGCCGCATTATATTGACTGTTCTTTGTCTAATTCCCCAATTATACTGTTACAATTTTCATATACACATCATGTCCTGAGATTAAGTGTCACTTTCGAAATTATTTCAACATCAGTGTAACTCCAACAGTGTTTATCCACACTTCAGAAGGAATACGTTTTCCACACTTACAGCCAACTGCTCATATTTTCATTCTCATAGCTGGACTTGAACGAAAGAGCAAACCCGAATGAAACATGAATGCTTTTTTTGTGTAGTCATCGGAGACTGGGCTGAGATAATCAACTCCACTAAAAGTGAGAACACGATTTCAACACGAGTGGCCGATTCCCAGATTATAACCCGGATTATTAGCGGTGCCAAGCTTGGAGCTCGGAACACAGGGAGCCTCTCCTGGCCTCAAAAACGTACTACGTTGAACTTCTTTCGCACCGTACGTAGCCAACCGTGCTAATCGGAGTTGAACAAAGTATCAACACATTACAGTAATACGACTAACAATCATGAGCAGGGTGGTACACAGTCGATATTTATAAATGACAACAAGCTGCTGCCGCGACCCTCACCAGGACAAACGGATCGTGAAACGAACGAACGAAAACAACGCACAATGAGCTGTGGGGACCTTTAAAGAACCACCAATGAAGGTCCTTATTTGCCAGTATACAAATATAACACGGAAATAATGGCGCAATTCAAAATAAAATTACACAAAGCACTTTTGTGTGTGTGTGTGTGCATACATACACACACACACAAATGATGACGTGGAATAACTGGGTGGTCAGAAAAGGCTAATGAGTGTGGCCTCCGTCACAGTCCAATGTTGCCCAAAATTTAGAAGGCCTCACTCAGCAGCCCGACAATGCTCCCTTTACCAGGGCACTCCCCTCCCCTATACCCCCCATACCCCCCCTCCCCTATACCCCCCATACCCCCCTCCCCTATACCCCCCATACCCCCCCTCCCTATACCCCCCATACCCCCTCCCCTATACCCCCCATACCCCCCTCCCCTATACCCCCCCCATATCCTCCCTCCCCTATACCCCCAATACCCCCCCTCCCCTATACCCCCCAATATCCCCTTTCCCCTATACCCCCCATACCCCCTCCCTATACCCCCAATACCCCCCTCCCCTATATCCCCCAATACCCCCCTCCCCTATACCCCCCCATATCCCCTTTCCCCTATACCCCCCATACCCCCTTCCCCTATACCCCCCATACCCCCCTCCCCTATACCCCCCATACCCCCCTCCCCTATACCCCCCATACCCCCCTCCCCTATGCCCCCAATACCCCCCTCCCCTATACCCCCCCATACCCCCCTCCCCTATGCCCCCAATACCCCCCTCCCTATACCCCCCATACCCCCCTCCCCTATACCCCCCATACCCCCCTCCCTATACCCCCATACCCCCCTCCCCTATACCCCCATACCCCCCTCCCTATACCCCCCTCCCTATACCCCCATACCCCCCTCCCTATACCCCCCATACCCCCCTCCCCCACCTCGTGCCCACAGGGAGTGCAAAGCCAGAAACCACTCCATTCACTCTCCCACCACACGCGCGATCATTAAGAGGCGGCCCATTGTACAAACTAATTTGTCACGGACAAATCGCAATCTACAATAAGCAGGTACAATACTCTTATACACACAGCGAAGAAGAAAAGCACTGGACAAAGAATCCCTGTAAGCGAAAATAGTTCGTGTATTTGCTTGCATTTAAGCTGCGTACACATAACAACATTACGCTTATCATAATCCTGTAAGCGCGCAACCAAAAATACCCCGGTGAGATAAGTCTAAAAGTTACCACAATGTGGATGATAGCGTTGCCAGCTCTCCGGGTTTGGCCCGGTCAGTCTGGGTGGGGGGGTGGCGGCCTGAGGCTTGTTTAGATACGTTTATAAATTCCAATTAAAGATAACAGTGCAAAAAAAATAGATGCAATCATGAACAATAATAATCTCTCTATAAAAACCAAAACGCATTTTGAAAACCACTTCAGCAACGCGCTCAATGCGGAGGACATTGGCAGCGGCAGTGTCGGATGGCCAGCTGCCCACGTTGACCTGGACAGTCTGGGAGTTGCCATCTGCGTTCGGGTGGCAGGAATTAATTCGTACCGAGATCTGCTACCGGTTCTGCTGTGTCGATCCTGCACAGTTTTGCTAAAGAACCTCGTGCGTTGGGGCTGTGGGCAAAGGTGGCGACCGTGGCCTTGGCTCTCTGCCTTTGTCTCACAAGCGAATTCGCTTTGATGCCTCACTTCTTCTCTGGGCGTGATGAGTGAAAACAAAATGCTTTAAGAGGGCTATACACCGCTCGTTGTAAAGTTCAAAGGATGGTAATTTGCGCAGGAGTGGGCGTTCTGTGCTTCGTGCAATCGGCAGACGAAAAACGCGGCATTCAGAACGTACCCAAAGAAACCGTTCAGATTGGAAGCAACCGAATGAAATTCTTTGAGTGGGTTGAAGAGTTCACTTCCGAGTCCTGTGCACAGGACTTAAACCAGCAGCTTCTCATCACTTTCCCAATTCCTCCCGCTCACATGACCGGGAGCAAAATAACAAAGGAGTGCTAGATCATTCATTGCTAACTTGTAATTCGGCTGTAACACCGTTGAAACTGTGAGCACCTCCGATTAGCACGGTTGGCTACGCATGGTGCAAAAAAGTTCACACATGCATGCATGTATACAACAGTAATTTCCTGAATGAAGTCAGCAGAGTAACACTTGTTGGAACAAGTGGTTCTGACCACTGCACCACCACTGCTTCCACGCACCATGAACAGGGCTAGCATCTGCGGCGAATGATACCTGGACTGAGCCGCACTCACCAACGTGGTGAATTACGGTCAACAAAACCGCCATGACCAATGTCGTGGACAGACTTGTCCAGCAGAGGATTTTAAAAGTGGCTGTACGCTACATTATTATTATTTGAAGACTCCAATAAGTCAGAAGTGGCGACAGTGGTGAGCACACTACGCTATAACATGCGTTTGATTTCGAGCGACGACTAACATTTGTGGCGTGTGACATCTGAACCGGTTTTGGGTCCACTCTTATCAACCCGCACTGACAAGTGTGGTGAAGTATGCTCAAACAAACCCGCATGACTGATGCAGAAAGGTATTTGTCCAGTTGTCGATTGACAAGGGACAAAAACTCACCAACTGACTTAATCCAATAAAAAATGAATGTAAACAGAGAGAACTTTCTGTATGTATGTTGAACTTCTTTCACACCGTACGTAGCCAACTGTGCTAATCGGAGGTGCGGGGAAAGGACAACAAACAAAACACAAAAAGCAGTTCTAAAGAAATGAGTTTTCAGTCTAGATTATGTAAAAGTGCATAGCTCCAGTGGCTTCGTCATATCGGAAGGAAGAGCGTTCCAGACGGCCGCAGAACCGCATCTGAAAGCGCGCAATGCAGTGGACGTCTTTGTTTGATGGCCAGCCAAAAACATCAGCCTGGACACATTTGCACTGCCCCTCTTCAGGACTGTAATGGCTTTGTGGCTGTGGATGACAGCTGATAGCAAGTGGGAATTTACACACCTGGGCAATGACACATATGTGCAATGACACACCTGTGCATTAACACATCTGTGCAATGACACACCTGGGCAATGATACATCTGTGCAATGACACACCTGTGCATTGACACACCTGGGCAATGACACATCTGTGCAATGACACACCTGGGCAATGATCCACCTGTGCAATGATACAACTGTGCATTGACACACCTGTACAATGACACAC